GAAATCCAACATAATAACTTCATTCCACATGTACAAGAGCATGACCACAGCCAAATGGGTCTATGCACACACCACTAATAAGGAAGATTAATAACAAAATTAAATTGATCAACCCATACCGGGAACATGTATCAAAAACACCTTTAGTAGTGACAATGCCCTTTATATATACCAGTTAATTTTGATGTATTTTAACATGTCCTTTGAGAAACTCCAGGGAATTTCCCAAAGCCATACTAAGCCCAAAGGTCAGGCTGTTTAATTCTGGGAAGCCTTGTCAAGCAACCAAAGGTGAACAAACAAGAAATTCCATGGAGCCATGACACACACACGGGACCCCCTTGTAGCCTGCAGGATGACTCTCGACATCCACTACAAGGTAAACCCTGCCACTTTCCAAACCAATGGTATAAATAATGAGTTACTGTAAGAACAGGTAAGTTACATTTCTAGATTTGCATTTTAACATTCATCCACTAGAAGGAGAACGGGAAAAGGCAAGGGAGACTCAGAGGGGAAGAAAATAGGGTAACAGATGACCACATACATCAGGACACAGAGCAGTAAACATAGAGAAGGGGGAAGTNCCACAGCCACAATAGGTCCATGAACACATCACTAATAAGGAAGATTAATAACAAAATTAAATTGATCAACTCATACCGGGAACTTGCATCAAAAACACCTTTAGTTGTGACAATGCCCTTTAAATAAACCAGTTAATTTTGATGTATTTTAACATGTCCTTTGAGAAACTCCAGGGAATTTCCCAAAGCCATACTAAGCCAAAAGGTCAGGCTGTTTATTTCTGGGAAGCCTTGTCAAGCAACCAAAGGTGCACAAACAAGAAATTCCATGGAGCCGTGACAACATACGGGATGCCCTTGTAGCCTGCAGGACGGCTCTTGACAGCCACTACAAGGTAAACCCTGCCACTTTCCAAACCAAGGGTACAAATAATGAGTCACTGTAAGAACAGGTAAGTTACATTTCTAGATTTGCATTTTAACATTCANACACATGCCTAAAATCTTATGTTACATGAACTAATTTAGACAAAAGTTCAATACAGACAGGAATAAGAAAGAAGGAGAAAATATTGTTCTGCTTTATATTTAGTTTGCTGTTCACTGAAATGACAAAAGATGTTTTAGCTCTTCCATGTTAACCATGTGTTCTCATGAATATAAGGTAGTAGCAAGAGTTAAGTCACAACGGCACAAGGAACATACAATGCGCTAATGGAACTACACATGACACCATGTCTAGGTAAATGATCCTGTGCTGAGATGATAGACAAATGCAATATTGAAGAAAGTGATTATGGAGTGATTCTGCATTTCAATATTTGGCCCAATTTAAACAACAAAACATTTTATTCACTAATTGTTTTTTTTTTTTTTAAATTACTTACAAATGAAAAGCACATACAAAGGCATCCCAAAATGTATTTCTNCAACCCAAGTACAGAAAGAAAAATACCACATGTCCTCACTCATAAGTATTAGCTGAATTCAGAAATAAACAAGTAAACAATAAGGAGAGAGAGGGAGGGAGGGAGAGAGGGAGAGAGAGAAAGAGAGAGAGAGAGAGAGAGAGAGAGAAACAGTGATCACAATATGTTGATTTTCTAGAAGAGAATAGAACTGTAGTTACTAGACAAGAAACAGGGAAGGGAGGAGAGAGGGAGGGGGTTAATGAGAAATGAATGAGAAATTGGTTAATGGACACCAGGAATGATTATCAATTGTAATGATGAATAAACTAACTATCTTGATCTGACCATTACACACTGTACACTACTACCGATAGTCAATTTTGCACCCCACAAATATGTATA